GGGTTCCCAGGGCCGGGCCCAACACCTCCACGACCCCCTCCCCTTCCCCCCTCCTCCCCCCCTCCCCCCGAGATCAGGCGGGGACAGGCCTCATGTATAATTTCTCCTACGAGTTACACGCGAACATGGAACCGTGTTAGACGTATTAGGTTACAGAAACCGTTACGAAAACCAATTCCCCCATATGGATCCTCTTAGCGCGCTGAGCGAGAGGCACTTCCCGGCCCGGCCCGCTGGCTCGGAGAGGAGGTTTGCTCCGTCTCACTGGCCGTTGCCAGGCTGCTTTCAAACAAATGCCACAACAACTCACATCGGCAGCCTCGTCCGGAGATCCCCGTACGGGCACTGATTTTTTTTTTTATCAGTCCGCTAGGTATGGAGCGATGGGCTGTTTCTTCCACGTGCGTTTTTCTAACGAGTTTAAGGACCTGTGTGTGTGTGTGTGTGTGTGTGTGTGTGTGTCCATCACGCAGGCTGCTCCTCTGTGTTCACGGCGCTGGGTGTAGCTGTCGACAGCGGACCGCCCCAGCTGGCACGGACCGTTCTTGTTGTCCGCAGAACCTCGGGTGCCAACACGGCTGCCGCAGCGCCAGGCACCACTTCACGCCAAGCCGCAGGGGAGCGGCAGGCACCCGGGGGAGCACACGGCCCGCCTCCAGGGAGACTTCCTGGACGTGACATTCCTGTTCGCGTGTACTGAGTCAGGGCGCATGCCGGGATTGCAGGCTTGATCGCCCGGAGGGGGCCTTTCTCTCCTCGTTGATATTTCTCTCCCCCCCCCCTTTTTCCTTTCCTCTCTTTCTGAGATGAATGAAAATACAACATCCTTTCGTGATAAACGCACCCAACAAACTAGGGATAGAAGGGGAGTTCCTCAGCCTGATGCACGTGTGACGTGAATGGGAACCCCCCCGCGCTAACATCACACGTAACGAAGACAGACTAAGAAGCGCTCCCCTTAACGTTTGGAACGAGACAAGGATAGTATATCTGCCCTTGTCACTTCTGTTCAGCGTTGTGGTGGAGGTTCTGACCGGGGCGGCCGGGCAGGGAGATGAAACAAAAGCCGTGTAGATGGGAAATAGAGAAGTAAAACCATCTCTTCGGCAGATGACGTCACACGCGCAGAGAATCCCTGCCAGATCCACGAGAAACGATCAGAGCGAACAGGCCGCGGAGAACACGCTTCCGTATCTGAAAGGAATCCCGGAGCAATGGGCAGGTCACGGAAGACACAGGTAGTCCACAGATGGCACGGGCAGGCTGCGAATACAGCTGCGGAGTGGTCACACTCACAGTCGTACCAAACGAGAAGGGCAGACTCAGGAGGACATTTTAACAAAAGGAGTGGCGGACCCGGACGCTGAGGTCTAAGGGATTTAAAAAGGACCCCGATAAATGCGAAGGCGCATGGAGGAAGGGGATCGCACTGGCCGCCCAGGGAAACCCACACATTGAAAGGCAATGACCGGAATCGAACCGGGACCCCGCAGACCGACGCTCCATCCACTGAGCCACACCGGTTTCGGCTGATCCAATATCAATCGATCCAGTATTGAGCCAATATAAACTGATCCAATACGGGTCCAATATAAAGTGAGCAGGCGTCTTTAAGCACACGTAAAGAGGCTTAAAACGCCACGGCTGGCTTTTTGGGTTGAATGCACAACATTGGGGATAAAAAAATACCGCAGCCATCGCCTTGAAAATGAAAGAGTCCTTTGTGGCCCTGAGCAGCCGGACCGGAGGCGCAGGGGAGGGTGCCGGCCAGCAGGCGGCGCTGTGATGTCACCGTGGATCCACCCGGCCTCACTGAGCGCTGGCTCCTCGCCTGGGGCTTTCCCTCCAGATGGTCACGCAGCTGGGGAGGGGCAGGGCTTGGGTTTAAAAGTCTCCTGCTGTCAATCATTGGAGCTCAGGGTGCCGGGAGAGGTGTGTGAGTGCAGGGATGGGGTGCGGGCGGGGGGGGGGGGGGCCTCTTTCTGGGTGTGAATGACTAACTACCTTCTCTCTGCAGCCTCACCTGGTGGAAGGATAGCATAGAGAGTGTGTATATATATGTACACAGGCACATGTGCATATATACGTAAGTATGTGTATGTATATGTGTGTGTGTGCATATAACGGAATGGCTGGTCAGCACATGCTCGCTGGGGGAGACACAGCCGGCGCCCCCTGACGCTGTCCACAGCCGGCCGGCGGCCCCCCGCGGGCAGGCCCCCCGACGTCCCCGGAGGCAGGGGCACCACGGCCGCTCTCGCTCGGCTGCGAGGACTCGCGTCTGTCTCTTGCTGCACAGACGGCTGACGATGGATACGGGGGAAACGTTTTATTGAACATACTCGGCTCGCTTCCAACGCGCACACACACACCTCTCGTGTACAGTGTGTCCAAGGCGTGTCTCCTGTTGTATGTCCTCCCCCTCCCCACTCCCTTCTTCTTTGTTCGAAAACCAGCACCGGAGAAGTGGAACAGGATGCGAAGTGAGTGAGCTGACGGGGACTATATACATCGGACTCCGGAGAGAACAGGGATGAGGTCTGACGGCCGCCGAGACCGAACCCCCGTGTGCAGAGACGGCCGAGCCACGGTTCGGCCGAGAGGGCTGCTGAAACGGAAATAGCACCGTGAGCCTGGCCGGTGCGGCTCCGTGGTTGAGCGTCAGTCAACCTGTGAACCAGGAGGTTCGGTTCCCGGCCGGGCTCGATTCCCGGTCAGGGGCGCGGCAGGAGGCCGATCCATGATTCCCTCTCATCATTGATGCTTCCATCTCTCTCCCCCTCTACCTCCCTCCCTCTCTGAAATCAATAAAAATATATATTTAAAAAAAAAATAGCACCATGAGATCCTAAGACGGGAGTTAGCCACGCATGTGTGTGCGTGGCCGCACGGGGACGGCCCTCGGCTGACGGACAGTAGAGGGCGCTGTGGACCACGGAGGCACGGGCAGAGCGGGCGAGGGCTGCACCGAGGTCGGTCCTTGCTGGTGAAAAGCACCGTGGGAAGCGATGGGTGTTTTATACCAACCGAGTCAGCGTTCACCCTCGCAGGGGGCGAGGCCCCTGATACAGAGGCGGCAGGGAAGGGGCTCAGCTCGGGGGCGTGTGAGCTAGCTGCCCCAGCTTCCTTAGCTGGCACCCCCCCAACCCTCCTGCCCCCCTGCTCTGTCCATCTGGGATGGACTACGGGACCTCTGGGGCTGAGGAAAAAGGAAATCCTAGTGCTCCGAGATTTAAGAACTTTGTGGGTACGAGAGCTGGCGGGGACGGAGGGGGGGGTGGCATCAGAGGGTGTCCTGTCCTTTCTCTCCGCAGAGCACCGGGCACTGAGCACCGAAGGAGGTTTCTCCACTGGCCTCACGGGTTCCAGGGATTGGGGGCGGGGGCGGGGGCCGTGGGGCTGCGGCAAGCCCCGGCCACGCCCCTCCACGGCCCCCCATCCCCGGAGGGAGCGGGCTGGAGAGAGCAGAGGGATGTGTGGTTTGTCCTTGTGACCGAAGTGGGCCTGAACGTCAACGCCAGGCCCGGTCACAGGCGCAGCACCAGTGAGTGGAGAAGCACCGGAGGAGACCCCCGCCCGGGACACGGCGGGGCCCTCGTGGCAGAGTCCTTGAACGTGAGCACCCGCCCGACTGCCGCCGGGCTGCTCAGGGAAACAGACGTCCCGCCTGGCGTGCAGGGCCCCGGGTCCCGGGCTGGGGCCCCTTCCCCCAGCTCCCGGGAGGTGAGTGGTGATCGGCGAGTGGCCTGTGCGCGGGCGGCGCTGTGGGCTGGAGGATCCTGGCTGCACGCCTGCTGCGCCCCGTTGTCTGGGGCCGCCTCCCCGGGCTCCGGAGCAGGCACAGCTCTGTTCGGAGGGGCGAAGGGACTGAAGGCGAGGAAGACACTGCGTGCTTTTCTGAGTGTCCTTCTTGCCCCGCGGGGGGGAGACGGTCCGCAGGGACGGCGCGACAAGGTCTGCGCTGCAGGAAGGCTGCAGGGTGGCCGGGCCCACTGGGCGGAGCGCCCCCTGGAGGAAACCCGCCTGTGGTGGACGAGGCGGCCGGGCCTGAGCGTGGATCCTCTGAGGTTCCGGAGATAATCCGCTCCAGACAGGTGGCCAAGGTCACCACCGGGAGGCCATCCGCACGGGGCCAAGCTCATGAAGTCCTGGCTAGAATGGAGGCCCCCCCAAACACACACACACACACACACACACACACACACACACACACGTAAAGCAGAGGGCTCCGGAAGGCAGAGGGAAGCCCCCACGACCCTCACAGAGCTGTCCTGAGCTCCCCCGTCTGCCAGGAAGCGCCTGCAAGAGAGGTCCTCCATTTCCCTGGGCGGACAGCAGAGATCCGACAATGAGATCTCCCCAAGCCTAAACCCTTCCGGAATCTTCTCTCCGACACAGCGGCTGCAGTGCGACGTGGCCCCGGTCCCCCGTGGGTCCACGCAGATCCAGCCTCGCAGAGGGACGTCCCCCGGGCCAGGCCCAGGGTCCAGAGAACATGCCCTCAGCGCCGGGCAGACGGCATCGGTCCCTCCACCGGGTGCCGCCGGGTCTCAGGATAAAGCCCGATTCGGTGTCCGGGGCCTCGCTTTGGCCGTCCCGCCTGGTGACACGAGATGCACCGGGAATCCTGCCGTCGGCGGAGAGCCGAGGCGGAGGCGGCCCTGACGCCTGGCTCTGCTGTCGGTGGTCAGAGGTGCCCCCCGGGGGGGGGTCCGGGGAACCTTCGAGACTGTGCCGATTCTGTGGTTCAGGCCTCCTTTCTTTCCCCCCTTTCCTGTGGAAAGCCATCCAGTGGCTCCGAACAATATATTAAGAATAAAAGCACTAAGGGCAGAGGTCGGGTCCACACGGGCGGGGTTCTGCGGGGCCTGGGTTCTTGGGACGAGGGGCGCTGTGCTGCGGAGGATCCTGGCTGCAGGACTGCTGTGCCCTCCGGTGGGCGGGGTGTTCGGCGGGCCCTCGAGTCAGGGCCTGGAGACGGCGGGACCCGGGAGCGCCTGTCATGAGCTCGGCGAGGGCGGGGGCAGCGGCCCGCGCATCTTGCTGGCGTAGAAGTCCCTGCACGTCTGGCAGCAGCGCTGGTACCACCGCATGTCCTGGCACAGGTTCTTCTCCCGGATGACCCGGCAGTACACCGTCCACTGGTCCCGCGTGCACTTATAGGTCAGGGCGGCTACAGGGACAGCGGGGGGAGAGGCCTGGGGTTACAGGTGGCACGGGGGCGTCCGGACGCGGGCCCGGCGGACCTGGCCGAGACGGAGGAGGCGTGGCCCCGGCCGGGGGCACCGTGGCTGCTGCCTGCTCCTACGGGGGACACCCCCCTGGGCCCAGCGTGACCACGTGGCCGAGCCTGGTGGTCTGGCTGCCTCCGTGGGCTGGGGCGCTGCCCGCAAGCTTCTGAGCGGAGCGGGGCTTACTGTTACCTTGTGGCAGGAGACCTCGTTACCACGGGCACTTAAGGCACACGAGGACACGGGGCGCTGAGGATCAAAGGGCCCACAGAGCGCACGGTCACAGCGCAAGGTCACAGCGCACGGTCACAGCACAAGGTCACAGCGAAAGGTCACAGCGCAAGGTCACAGCGAAAGGTCACAGTGAAAGGTCACAGCGCACAGTCACAGCACAAGGTCACAGCGCAAAGTCACAGCAAAAGGTCACAGCGCAAGGTCACAGCGCAAGGTCACAGCGCAAGGTCACAGCGCAAGGTCACAGCACAAGGTCACAGCGAAAGGTCACAGCGAAAGGTCACAGTGCAAGGTCATAGCGCAAGGCAAGGTCACGGCGCAAGGTTACAGCACAAAGGTCACAACGCAAGGTCAAAGCAAAAGGTCTCAACGTAAGGTCACAATGCAAGGTCATAGAGCAAGGTCACGGCGCAAGGTCACAGCACAAAGGTCACAGCGCAAGGTAAGGTCACAGCGCAAGGTCACAGCGCAAAGGTCACAGCACAGGGTCACAGCACAAGGTCACAGCATAAGCAAGGGACCTGAGTCGCCTCCAGGGTCCTAGCTCTGCAGGAAGGAGGTGCCTGAGGGACATGCCTGGGGGACCCCGGGGAGCTTGTGCATGCAGCAGCCTGGGGTGCACCTCTATGAGCTCGAGCACCCTCCCCCCCCCCAGTGCAGCCACATAGCAACGCCCTTCCTTCCGGCGCCAGGCCAGGCGTCAGGAAGGCTGTGGGTGCGAAACACACCCCGGGCCGGGGACTTCTGGCTGGACGAGCAGGGACTCTGCAGGCGCCACCGGAGCAGCGTTCAGTGTGTCTCACCCTGCGGCCCGGGCCGTGCCCGCGGACGGCCGAGCTGGGAGCCGAGGGGCCGCGCTGCTCACACAGAAGGTCCCCGCTGAACGAGGGACAAGCCCGCCAACACCGTCTCCTCCAGCCTGAGGAGCAGCTGTGCGGACGTCCCGGGGGCTCGCCCATGACACCCCCACAGCCTTCGTTTGCGGGAGAAAGCGCCCCCCTTTGCCCCGCCCCATGCAGGAATCCTAAAGCATCGGGAGTCCCTCCCCACAGCTCCCCAGGGGGCGGCGGGGGGCCGGCGGGACTCTGGGCTTGAGGCGGAAGTTAGCAAACGGCTTTCTCATGACGAGGACGGCATTCCACCTCCGATCTGCTCCGAGGCGACCCGTGTCGCCTCTCCAGGGCTCAGGTGAGGCCCAAGGAAGGCGCCTCCCGGCTCCTGGCCCTCCCCTCGCCCCCGGTGGGACTCGCTGGCGGAGGGGGGCACGGGGAGAGGACGGGCACTCACCCAGGCGCGGCGAGGTGATGGTGTTCACGTTGATCTTGTCGTTGCACACCTCCAGGTGGCACTGCCGGTAGGTGGAGGGCTTGGCGAGGGCGGGGCACTCGCTGCCGTGGCGCCCGGTGACCTTGTGCATGCACTGCACCACGCGGGACTGCAGCCCCTTCCCGCACGTGGAGGAGCACTGCGGGCACAGGGCGGCCGGCTCGGCATCTCCCCAGGCCCTTCTCGGAGGGACGTGGGGCAGGTGGCAGCTGGGCTTCCAAGTCCCCAGGAGACTGACTGCACTGGCTAACCAAGAAGTCGCCCTAACCATGCCTGCCGCACCCCCATGGCGCCCCCTGCCACCAGGGGGGGGGGGCGGGCCCTGCCAGCCGGGCAGTGGGCCTGGCTGAGGCTCTTGCTGGCCAGGGGTGCCCGTGCCCGCGAGGGTTCTGGTGTCTTTTGCAGGCCCGGTTGCCGGGCCTCTGAGAAATCAGGCGAGGCCTCGATTCTGTGGGGCTATTATATAAAATCAAGTGCAACACTGACAGGCTCTCTCCCCAGAAATGACCGAGGGCCGTCCTAAAACTCAGCTTCCACCTACGAACCGGGTTCGATTCCCGGTCAGGGCACATGCCCGGGCTGCAGACTCGACACCCAGGTGTGGGTGCGTACAAGAGGGGACTGGCTGCCTCCTGCACACCCCCTCCTGGGGATCCAGCCTGCAACCCGGGCATGTGCCCTTGACCGCAATCAAATCCGGGGACCTTCACCCCTGCAGGCTGATGCTCTACCCACTGAGCCACACCGGCGAGGGCTGAGCAGCACTATGGTTATGAGCAAAAGCAGGCACGGGGCCAGGAGCGGAGGACAGGGCTGCCTGGTGTCCCCGGGCCAGTAGCTGAGCGCCCACAGGAAGGAGGACGGGCACAGGCAAGGAATTCCATCTCCGCCCCCACTCTGTCCACCCCACCGGCCTGGGCTTCAATCAAACAGCGAGAGGCCGCCCACCGTGAGGCCTGATAGCATCGGCTTAGCCCCGAGCACGGGAGGGAGGCCACCTCTCAGGCTTTCAAAGCGCCAGCAGACGCGTCTATGAAAGACAGGGGAGCCAGACCCCGAGGACAGGCTCCAGCAGGGCGAGCGGTCGCCGTTCCCTCCGCCTCTCCCGCCTGTAAAGTCACGGCTATACAGAACCCCAGGTCCCGGAGGGCCGCTCGGAGAGTTCGTGAAGGAGGTGGTAGGAGTCTCGGGAGAGGGACTCGCTGCGGGAATGTCACGGCCGTGTGTGCGTGAGCCCGGGTCCCGGGCTCCGGGGGGGGGTGGGGGGTGGGGGAGGGGGCCGGGCAGGGGACCCGGTGAGGGTGACAGGATGCGAGGTGGACCCTCACAGTCCAGCATCACCCCGATGGGGCCCCTGGGCCATTCTCGGAGGGCCTGGTCTGTCTGGGGCAGGTGTGGGTCCCAAAGAATGGGGAGAGAGAGAGAGAGAGGAAGGGAGTGGGGAGAGGGAAGGAGGGAGCGGGGGTGGGGGGGGAGAGAAATGGAGAGAGAGAGAGAGAACACCCCTAAAGGAACTTTTCCTGTGCCTGGGGAAATGTCAAAGCCTGTGTGACAGATCGCCCCCAACTTGGCATGAGCGCCACGGGCCTCGGACGCCGTTGGAACCTGAGCCGGCAGGTTTAAGCAATGATGGAAATCCCCCGTCCTGGCCCCGGGCTCCAGGCAGGCAGCAGATGCTGTCGGAGACGTGCCCCTGCACTCACACAGAGCCCCCTCCCCCTTCCTCTCTGACACCAGTAAAAAATACATACATGCATGCATGCATACAAATGTAAATAAGTAAAAGCATCGGTGAGAGTTCTGGGGCAGGGCTGCGGGCGGAAAGCCAGCAGCTCGAGGCGGCAGAGGGACTGTCCCTCTCCGATGGCACAATGTGGGCTTGCGCAGCGTTTGGACAGAAAGAAAGAGGGTTTCCCTGGCCGCGCGGGGGCCGCCCGGCGGGCGTGGCGGGGCGGGGCGGGGCGGAGGGGAGCGCGGGCGGGCGGGCGCCGGCTCACCGTGGACCAGGCGCCGGTCCTCCAGGCGTAGCAGCCGGAGTAATCCTCGCAGGGCCCCTCGGCGCGGGGCCGCGTGGCCGCGTCGCACTTGCTCTGGGAGTTGGTGCAGGTCACGGTGCGCTTCTGCGTGCCCGGGCCGCAGCTGGCGGAGCACTGCAAGGCAGGCGGCGGCGCTGAGGCCGGGCGGCCACCGGGCCGGCGCCCCGAGGCCCCGGGGGCACCTGCCGGGGCCGGGCCTGAGGATGCCGGGCCTGAGGATGCCGGGGCTGAGGATGCAGGGGCGGGGCCCAGGCTGCTTCTTTTAATATACATTTATTTATTTATTTTTATTGATGTCAGAGAGGAAGGGAGAGGGAGAGGGAGAGAGAGAGGAACACCCCAGTCAGGGCGCAGGCCAGGGTTGTGGGCTCGATCCCCAGTAGGGGGCGCGCAGGAGGCAGCCGGTCCATCATTCACTCTCCTCATGGATGTTTCTCTCTCTCTCTCTCCCTCTCCCTCTCCCTCTCCCTCTCCCTCTCCCTCTCCCTCTCCCTCTCCCTCTCCCTCTCCCTTCCTCTCTGACGCCAGTACAAACACATTTAAAGAGAAATAAGAAGGAAAGAAGCGCTCGGCTCAGGCCGGGGCTGAGCCCCCTGGGGCCGGGTGGGTGCGGGTGCGGTTTCGGGAGGTGGCCCGGGCGTGACGGGGCACATAGGCAGACGGAGACGCTACTATAAATCTCGCCTCCGCTGGCTCACGCTCACCCAGCGGGGCTGGTGAATCCGATGCTGACAGCTGATAGTGTCAGTGTCGGGCTCGGGTATTTGGGGAAAGAGGTATGTGTGTTTCTTCCATATAAGAAAAGAAAAAAAAAAAAACCCAAATAGAAAATGTATGGTTTTGATCTGATTAAAGTATAAATCTTGTTTGAAATCAAGACCCAGGTGACTAAGGCCCTCTGGCTCCTGGGAGGCGGCGGAGGGGAGAGTGACCACTCACTACCTGCCCCTGCCCCTGCAGTGAGTACCTCTCTCCCTGAAAAAGGTCCCTGGGATGCTACACTTACACACCTAAGTCCATGTAAATAAAATGAAAAAAAAAAAAAAAAAAAAACCAAGCAAAATGTTTAAGCGCCTGGCCCGGGGGGCGTGGCTCAGGGGTTGCGCATCGACCGAGGAACCGGGAGGTCACGGTTTGATTCCTGGTCGGGGCACAGGCCCGGGTTGTGTGCTCCATCCCCAGTAGGGGGCGTGCGGGAGGCAGCCGATCCGAGATTCCCTCTCCTCATGGATGTTTCTCTCTCTCTCTCTCCCTCTCCCTGCCGCTCTGAAATCAGCACAAACATATTTTCAGACGATTTAAACCGTCTTCCTTTCTTAAGGTATCGTAAAGGGTGGGTCAGCACGCAGGTCTCTCCCTGGGCACGTGACCAGGCCGGTCGGAAAGCACGCTTCAGACTTTTCATTCATTAAGGAACCGGCGTGCTGCTTTCCGATTCAAAGTCGTTCCAACTGTTTGGCAACAGGAAGGGGCTTTAAAAATACTTTCCGCACTGCACAGTGTCTTGGCCAGAGCCCCCTGACTTCACCGGCCCAGCTGCCGTTCTCACAGCCAGACCATCGGAGCCGAGCCTGCAGGGCGGACGGGAGGCCTCGGGAACGCTGTCCCCGGAGAGGACGCGGCAGGGGCAGGAGCAGCCTTCGGATTGGACGACCTCGGACTTCCCGGAGCGGCGAGGGCGCGGGACCGGGGACTTGGACGGGCTCCAGGGGAGCGGGCCCTCCCGGCGTCCGCCGCGGGTCGCACAGCCGGCCTCAGGGTGAGGGAAAGCCTGGACCCCACTTCCCAATCCGACACCAAGGTCAAACGAGCCCCCGGGTGAGGAAGGCAGGCTGCGCGTCTGTGTATCCCTCTAGGGTGTGTCTGTGTGTCCATCTGCGATCTACCTATGTATCTACCCTGTTTCCCCGAAAATAAGACAGTGTCTTATATTAATTTCCCCCCCCCCCCCAAAGTGGCGCTAGGTCTTATTTTCAGGGGATGTCTTATCTTTCCATGCGCTAGGTCTTATTTTCGTGGGATGTCTTATTTTCGGGGAAACACGGTATCTGTATGTCTCTGTATCCATCTATGAATGTATTTATGGATCTATGTATCTATCTGTATGTCTCTGTATCCATCTATGAATGTATTTATGTATCTATGTATCTATCTATATGTCTATGTATCCATCTACGGATCTACCTATGTAGCTATGTATCTATCTATATGTCTATGTATCTATCTATGTATTTGTGTATCTATGTATCTACACCTATGTCTTTATCTATGTACGTATTTATGTAACTATATACCTATTATCTACGTATTTATGTGTCTATGTACTATGTATCTATGTGTTCAGGTATCAACTACATATGTATCTATGTAACTATGCCTATGTATTTATCTATGTATGTACTTATGTGCTATATACTATGTATTTATGTGTCTATGTACATATCTATCTATGTGTTTATGTATCACCTATGTATCTGTGTATTTATTTATACATCTTTATCTATGTAGCATCTATTTACTTATTTGTCTACCTCTATTCATCTGTCCAGCCATTTATATCTCCATGAGAATGTTCATAGGAAAGGGGACCTAAGAGCACTGTGGTATATTATTTTTTTAAAAAAACGCCTACCCGTTATCAGTAACCCATTTCCCGTGTTTCGGGGCACGCTGCTATCGCAGAGGGACTCATCGAGAGCATGTGGGCGCCGGTGCAGCTCTGAGTTGATTTGGGGGGGCCGGCGAGGGCCGTGCCGGGTGAAGCCGTGACACAGACGTGACGTGGGAAGAGGGACCATGAGGGGGCACCCACCTGTGACCACTCGGACGCTTCCCAGATGGACAGGCAGTCCTGGCCCTCGCAGCCCTGCGTGGCGGCGGGCCGGGCGCCCTGGCAGTACAGGGGCCGCGTGGTGACGTGCGAGCCGTTCTGCAGCTGGTGCACGCAGGTCACCTCCCGCCGCTGCGAGCCCTTCTCGCAGGTGGCCGAGCAGGGGCTCCAGGGCCCGGCCACCCACCTGCGGGGGGAGAGACGGTGAGGGGAGGCCTGCGGGCGTAGGAGGAGGCAGAGCAGGGAGCTCTGCAGGGACTCTGTCACCCGAGGACACTCTCCCGTTGATTTTTAGAGAGAGTGGACAGCCTGTCCTTGGCAGGCGGGGTTCGGGGGCGAACGTGAGGCTGTCCACTAAAGGTAGTGGTGGCCCGGCCGGCGTGGCCCCACGGTGAACCAGGAGGTGATGGTTCGATTCCCGGTCAAGGCACACACCCCCGGGTTGCAGGCTCGGTCCCCAGTAGGGAGCATGCAGAAGGCAGCCGATCCATGATTCTCTCTCCTCATGGATGTTTCTCTCTCTCTCTCTCTCTCTCCCTCCCTCCCTCTCCCTTCCTCTCTGACATCAGTAAAAATGTATTAAAAAGCAGTCCTGGGTGGGAGCAGGCAGAACTGCAAGCTGCCTGCTCGTAAAGCGGCGTGCCAAGCCTCACAGGGCGGGCGGGCGGGTGGGCTCGGGGTGCGGGCAGCAGGCTCCCTGGCTGGTCCCTCTGGGAGCCCGGCGTCTGGCCTCCCAGTCCCCTCGGCCCGTACCCCTGCACACTCCCCCCCCCCCGAGAGGCTGAGCTGGCTCCCTCTGGTTCTGGGGAGCCCCCTGGGAACCTCTCCTTTCGGCAGGCAGAGCGCTGAGACAGGCTGAGCCAAGGCAGGCGTGCAGGGCGGGCTGCTGGCGTGGCTTCACCTGCACCGCTGTGTGGGGCTGGGCCCGAGGGGCGCCGGCTGGGGCAGGAGCGGGTGGGAGGGGGGAGCTGCCTGCTGGTGCTCATTAAGCCCCTGTTCTCCTCGAGGCCGGCCTGCTATCATCGAAGTACCCCCTTCCGGACCAGCTGAGGCCTTCGCAGGCCCCTCACAGAACAGCCCGGGTTCTGCGCCCCCAATCCGCCAATTTAGCTGCTTCTTTCTTTAAAAAAAAAAAAAAAAAAAAAAAAAAAAAATATATATATATATATATATATATATATATATATATATTTTTTTTTTTTTTTTTATGGCCGAAACAGGTTTGGCTCAGTGGGTAGAGCGTCGGCCTGAGGACTGAAGGGTCCCAGGTTCGATTCCGGCCAAGGGCATGTACCTTGGTTGCGGGCACATCCCCAGTATGGGGGCGTGCAGGAGGGAGCTGATTGGTGTTTCTCTCTCATCGATGTTTCTAACTCTCTAGCCCTCTCTCTTTCTCTCTAAAAAAATCAATTAAAAAAAATATGTATATATATATATATATATATAAATATTTTTATTGATGTCAGAGAGGAAGGGAGAGGGAGAGAGAAACATGGACCGGCTGCCTGCTGCACGCCTCCCCTACTGGGGACGGAGCCCACAACCAGGGCATGTGCCCTGACTGGGAATCGAACCCGAGACCCCTCGGTCCCTGGGACAGTGCTCGATCCACAGAGCCACCCGCCTCCTCCTCGGGGCTGGTCTCACCGGGGCGGCGGGCTATGAAGGTCATTGCGGAGCTCGGCTCCGGCACGCGGGAGAGACACTGCGCATTCACACCGCAGGCTCAGGGAACCGCTGGGAGTTTCTGTAAAACCTCACATCCCCCATAGTCGCCCGTGCCCCTCCGTTCCCGTCCCGGAACGATGCAGGCATCCTGAGCACATGGTGTCACAGCAGATGCTGGACAGATGCTCCTCCGGGAACAGCAGGAAACGGAAACGCAATAATTAGTGTCAATTAAGTTCCCAATAAATCACGGAGCGGGGGAAGCGGGGGGGTGGGGTGGGGGGGGCCTTCGGTGGCTCAGCCCCGAGTGGCCTGCTGGGCCCGAGGCGGTGAGGCCGGTCCAAGCCTGTGTAGGAGCTCTGGACGGCTCCGGCTGACTCACGGTCAGAGCAAATCGCATAAATCGAGTCTTGGCACGAGAGGCAATAAGGAATCCCGTAACCGCTACCAATTGGAAATCATAATTTGTTAATCGTTTTAATAGCGAAACGAGCTACAGAAACCGCGTCCAGGAGCCCTCCGCGATGAAGGGAAGGAGATCCGTTTTGTTTCTGGCTTCCTTCGCTTCAAATGTATGTTATTGATTTTGAGAGAGAGGAAGGGAGAGGGAGGGAGAGGGAGAAACATCGATGGGCTCCTGCACGCCCCCCAGTGTGGGGATCGACCTGGAAACCCAGGAATGGAACCGTGCCCTCCTGGTTCACAGGTCGGCGCTCAACCACTAAGTCATGCTACGGCGTGAAAACGCTTACATGTTTACAAATACTTCTCTAAAGCCCTGATACTTGAAGGTCAGTGTTGCTAGATAGAAAACCCGTATAGTTACGGGTCTCGCTGTCACTCGTGGTGATGGGCCATAAAACTCGTTTCAGAGGAAGAGGCAGGGGAAGAGAGAGAGAGAGAGAAAGAGAGAGAGAGAGAGAGAGAGAGAGAGAGAGAAACATCGATGATGAGAGAGAATCATGCATCGGCTGCCTCCTGAGCACCCCCTACTGAGGACCGAGCCTGAAACCCGGGCCTGTGCCCTGACCCGGAATTAAACCCTGACCTCCTGGTTCATGGCTCGACGCTCAACCACTGAGCCGGCCCGGCCTACGGATTGTCCGTGTCCGTCCCGGTTCTGGCTCAGCAGCCGGAGACGCAGTGTTTCCAGCGCACACAGACCCCCCCAGCAGCCAGGGGAGGCGGCACGGGGCGGCCTGGCCCGGCTGTCTCCCTCCGCCCCGCCCCGCCCCGCCCCGCCCCGCCCCGCCCCGCCCCGCCCCGCCCCGCCCCGGAGGCTCGGCCCCGCAGACCCCCGGCTCCTTACCGCGCCTGGCATGGGTGTGAGTTGCATCTCCGGACCTGGGGCTCCGGGCGGCTCGCCGGGGGGCAGTCGCTGTCATTCACCAGCGCCGTGGTCTTGTTCACGACGCGGGTGCAGGACACGACGGTCCTGCGTTCCCCTGGAGACCGGCACGGGGAGCCGATGGGCCATGGCTGCCGCCGGGGAGGGGAGGGGAGGGGAGGGAGGTCCCGCTGTGGAGGGGCCTCCGGGGCATCCTCTGATCAGAGGGCCCTTGAACCAACTGTGTCAGGGCTGGACTAGAACCTCAGCCAGGAGGGTGTGCCAGACGTGGGCAGGGCAGTACGGGGCGGGAGGGACATTCTAGACTGGGGCCAGAAAGAGGCAGCCGCTGCTTGGCCGGCCTGGCTCCGTGGTTGAGCCGTGGACCCGGGAACCAGGAGGTCACGGGTTGATTCCGGGTCAGGGCACATGTCCGGGGTTATGAGCTCGATCCCCAGTAGGGGGCGTGCGGGGGGGGGGGGGGCAGGGCATCCATGCTCCTCTCTCTCATCGATGTCCCTCTCTCTCTCTCTCTCTTTCTCTCCCTTCCTCTCTGAAAGGAACAAACGCTGGCGAGGTGCCCGGCCTGTGCCCTCTCCGTGCCCCGACCACAGAGGGCCCAGCTCCCACGTCTCCTTCCCTTAACGAAACCCGCGCCCGTGGGCCGGGCCCGGCGCTCACCTCCGCCGCACTGCACGCTGCACCCCTCCCAGCCGCTGTGGGTCCAGAGGAACAGGGAGTCCTGGGGCCTCTCGGGTGCGCTCTGGTTCTCGGCCGTGGCGTTCACGGGGATGGTGTACTCGTAGTGGATCCCGTAATTCTGGTCGTGGAACAGCAGCACCTGCACGGGCGGGCGGGCGGGCGGGCGGCAAAGGAAAAGACCCGGGGCTGCTGACGGCGGGCCGAGGGCCTCGCCCTGCGGTCACCCTCCCCGGTGGGCACGGGGGTTTTCAGACAGGTTCGACCTGCCCGGCCGGTGCGGATCAGTGGCTGAGCGTCAACCCAAGAACCGGGAGGTCAGGGCGCATGCGTGTCCATGTTGCGGCTCCATCCCCAGGAGGGGGCGTGCAGGCGGCAGCCGATGCATGATTCTCTCTCCTCGTTGATGTTTCTCTCCCTCTCCCTCTCCCTCGCTCTCTCTTTCTCTAAAAATCAAATATATATATATATATATATATATATATATATATTCAAATTAGTATTGCAAAAGAAGGGTTCATGTAGGACTTTCAAGTGGCCTGGCTGGGGTAGAGGGGGGTGTCCCCAGGGTAGGCCTAAAACCAGTGAGTCCCCCCAGGTCGAAACCCCTAGCAAGTTCCCGTCCGGGCCGGGAGGCGCAGGAGAGGGGCCGCGGGCGCGGGAGGCAGACGGTGCAGGGCCCGCCTGACCAGACAGACGCGGGGCAGGCCAGGTGGCAAGTGCCTTAGCCGGGGGTGCCTCCTCTCTCCCTCCCTCCCCGGGTCTCCCCCTCCCTCCTCCTCCTCCCTCGGCAGCACAAACATCTCCCTCTCCAAGAAGCAGGCCTGCAGGAACGCAATTGGAAACCTGCCTCCGGTGGAAAAGAGAGTTAAAAAAAAAAAAAAAAAAAAAAAAAAAAAAAAGCAGTCTCTTCAATAAAAGAGATCTTTTATTATCTCAGTCTGGGAACACAAGGCTGGTGAATGGGGGGAGCCATCTGAAACCGATTTCGGGCAATTCCGCAGCCACAGAGAATGTGCGCGCGTGTGCACGACCAGTTTCCCAGGCGGGGCCCGTGGCTCCCCGGCGTGCGTCCCGGTTTGGGGGGCGATGGCGTCTACGGACAGCTGGAAGGGCACCCCTCGTTTTAGATTTGCAAACGGAAAGGAACCGTCATCGTTGGAGAGAGAGAGAAGCAGTTCGCGGTAACGGGGCCGGGCCCGGGGCTGGGGCGGCAGCGGTGGCCGCCTCTCTCTGAGCTGTTTCTCGTGGTCTGAATGGATCCCGGCTGGGCCTGGGCCTGAGCCCGGCGGGCGATGCCCTGGGGCCGTGGACGCTTTGAGAAGGGACGGGAAATAAACCCGTCCTGGCGCCTGCTACAGAGAGCAAGTGCCCGGGCGACCGGGGACGTGACAGTGAGGGCCTTATCGTTGGCTTCCTCTCAGGCCCTCTGCATAACTGCTTTATTGTATTATTATTACTATTATTATCATCATGATTTCTCATCCTCACCCGAGAACCGTTTTTCCACTGATTTCTAGAGAGAGTGGAAGGGAGGGAGGAGGAAGGAGGGGGAGAGAGAGCGAAACATCGACCGGAGAGAGGCACATCGATGGGCTGTCTCCTGCACACGCTCCCTCCTGGGGCCTGTGATTCAGGTTACCCTACGTGCCCTTGACCGGGAATCGAACCTGCGACCCTTGGGTCTGCAGGTGGATGTTCTAACCACTGGCCAAACCAGCCAGGGCTGCTTTTATTTCATTTCTTTTTCTTTTTTTTTTTTTTTTTTTTTTTACATTTTTATTGCGTTCAGGGCTCACAACAGGCTTTGATATTCTTAAAAAGGATGCATCAGACTGGCTGGTTTGGCTCAGTGGATAGAGCGTTGGGCACAGACTGAAGAGTTGCAGGTTTGGCTCGGGTTCAAGGGCCTGTACCTCAGTGGCAGGCTCCAGGCCCAGCCCTGGTTGAGGCATGTGCGGGAGGGAACCAATCAAAGTGCCTCTCTCACATCGATGGTTTTCTCTCTCTCTCTCTCTCTCTCTCTCTCCTTTCTTCTGTCTCTCCCTGTCCCTTCCACTCTCTGCAAAGAGATCAATGGAAAAAATCCGCAGGTGAGGACTCACCAAGATAAACAATAAAAAAGGACACATCAGCAGGTGGTCTGGGGGTTGGGCCGACAGGTAAGGCGGGACCCCACAGGTTCCTGAGGCCACCCGGGGAGTCGGCATTCCCGTAGAACCTGCCACCCTCTCCTCCCAGTTCCCGGATGCCTGCTGCAAGCCGAGCTTGGAAAATCTGAGCGCTGCTGGTTTGGAAGGAAGCGGAGTCAACAGCTCCTTTCCAGAAGGTAATTTCCGGCGTGGAGATACACGCCGCGGGGCGGCCCGGTGCCATCTGATATAAAAACACAGGCTGCGCACAGGCCGTCTGCCGGACGGGGCCCTTCCGTGTGAGAAGAGGCCGGAGCCCTGCCTGCGGGGAGCCGGGCGGGGTCCTGAGCCGGGAGAAACCTGAAGCACGCCCAGGGGGATGTGGCTCCGAGGTTGAGCATCAACCTAGGAGCCAGGAGGCCACTGTTTGATTCCCCGTCGGGGCACACACCCGTGTTGTGGGCTCCATCTCCAGCAGGGGGCGTGCAGGAGGCAGCTGATCCCTGATTCTCTCCCCTCATTGATGTTTCTTTCTCTCTCTCTCTCTCTCTCTCTCTCTCTCTCTCTCTCTCTCTCTCTCTCCCCCCCCCCTTTTTTTTCCCTCTCTCTCTCTTTTAATATATTTTATTGAATTTTTACAGAAAGGAAGAGAGAGGGATAGAGAGTCAGAAACATCGACGAGATAGAAACATCCATCAGCTGCCTCTTGCATACCCCCCACTGGGGATGTGCCCGTAACCAAGGCACATGCCCTTGACCGGAATCGAACCTAGGACCTTTCAGTCCGCAGGCCGACGCTCTATCCACTGAGCCAAAAAACGGTTTCAGCTCTCTTCCTTTCGGAAATCAATAAAAAAAATATATTTACAAAGAAAAGAGGAGATCCAGAGGGAGTCTTGAGCTGTGTGTGTGTGTGTGGGGGGGGGGGGGGGGGCCCAGGTAAGCCACCAGGGGACCCGGGGGCGCCTGCCCGCCACCCAAACCCCGGGAGGCAGTAACCGGGGAGAGAGCCCTCACCGAGCCTCACCATCAAGTGCAGCGGGATCTTGGTCGGGCCCTTGGCGGAGATCTTCTCCCACAGGCCCCTGCGCACGTAACGGACCGTGGTGCCCGCGATCTGGAACTCCCCGGGCAGCTCGATCTTCCAGTCGCTGTTGATGGACCGGCGGCTGGAGTCCTTGAGGGCTGAGGAGAGAGCGGGCGGCGTGGGGCGGAGGCCGCGCAGCAGGTCTGTGCGGAGCGGCCCTGAGGCCCAGCCACCCCTTCTCCTGGGCACAGACCCCCCCAAAAAACTCAAAAACTAAACACACACACACACACACACACACACACACACACACACAATAAAAACATCAAAAGAAAAAAAATAAAGAAAAAAAAAAGAGCACAGAAAATTCTGGAGGGACCTGGTTCTGTCTGGTGATTTTATGTCCGGGGTGGGGGGGGGGGGAGAGAGGGGGGGTCTGATTGGCCGGGAAAAACAATTTCATTTTGGGGCTCCGCCGGAGTCAGTGATCAGGCATTTTATTTTTTATTTATTTGTTTTTTTTAAAAAAATATATTTTTTAAAATTGATTTCAGAGAGGAAGGGAGAGGGAGAGGGAGAGATTGAAGCATCCGTGATGAGAAGCATGGATCGGCTGCCTTCTGCACGCCCCCTTATTGGGGACCGAGCCCGCAACCCGGGCCTGTGCCCTTGACCGGGAATCGAACCTGGGACCCTTCAGTCCCCAGGCCTAGCCACTGAGCAGATGAGATGGGCCGGTCGGACGTTCTGGAATCGCTGTCTGAAAGAAACACAGCAGGGCCTGCCTTTGTGTCTTTTGCTGAGGAGCCATTAGGAGCCACGAGGAGCCGCTTAACGGGAGAGGAACTCCCCCACGAGGGAGGGTGGGTCCCTGCCCTCCTCACCCCCAGGGCAGGACAGACAGAACCTCCTCCGGGGCCGGAGCCTGCGATCACGTGATGCGTGTCTGCAGATAGTTGCATGTGGACATGCGTGTCTGCAGATGGTTGCACGTTGGGCACGGGCTACGGGGGGAGAGACTGTGAGCCGTGCTGGGGAGCGTGGAGGGGGCACTCCTGGTCGTATGGGGGGCAGGGCGGGCTCCTCGTTAGCTGGCTGCAGGCCCACGCGGGGGTCTGACCCCCGCCCCCAGGCCGTCCCCCCCGCCCCTCCCCGCGTGGGGCTGGGCGGGAGCGGCTCCCTATGTCTGCCTCTCCTGGATTGCACTGGCAGGCCTGACCCGCAGTCAACCCACTTCTGGCCCTGGCCCCGCGTCAGCGCCTTTTATTTCCACCCGGAGGCCGGCCCGCGGACGCGAGCGGCAGAGGCATTTCCTGTTCCAGGTGGTTTCGAGCCGCGGGCCAGGCCGTGGGCCGGAGGGAGGGAGGCGGGTGGAATTCCTCGGGAATCGCTCCCGGCAGGCAGCTACGAGGGGAGCTCGGAGCTCCGTGGGCTCCGCTTCCAGGGCGCCCGGCCCGGGGCCAGCACGGCTGGTTCAGGAATGTAAGGAGCGTGCGCCGCCTCCGGGCCTGCCCCCGTGCCTAACCCAGGCCCTGGGGTCCTGGGGTCTGCCTGGCCGAGGAGATAAGGGGACAGAGGCAGGCCAGGCTGGCGCGGCTCAGTGGCTGAACGTCGACCTAGGAACCAGGAGGTCACGGTTCGATTCCCGGTTTGGGCACGTGCCCGGGGTTGTGGGCTCCATCCCGTGTGGGGCGTGCCGGAGGCAGCCGATTCATGATTCTCTCTCATCATTGATGCTTCTCCCTCTCTCCCTCTCCCTTCCTCTCTGACATCAAAAAAAAAAAAAAGAGAGGAAGGGAGAGAGATAGAGAGCTAGAAACATCGATGAGAGTCATCGATCAGCTGCCTCTTGCACACCCCCCACTGGGGATGTGCCCGCAACCAAAGTCCATGTCCTTGACCGGAATCGAACCCGGGACCCTTCATTCCCCAAGCCGACGCTCTATCCATTGAGCCAAACGGGTCTCGGCTATATATATATATATATATATATATATATATATATATATATATTCCATTTCAGGTGGGAATTAGAAATTAGATCTACTGGACCCTGACACCCTTCTGCCCTTCCCACATTTCCACGGAAAAGCAGAGATAATGTTCCCAATCCTGTTCGCCACCCGGGTCCCGGGTCAGGTGAGCAATGGCGACAGGAAGTCTCGGCAGCCAGCACACGTACACCTAACGTAGGAGGTTACCGCCAGCGGCCTAGACCAGGGGTCGGCAAACTCATTCGCCCACGGAGCCAAATACCAACAGGGCAGCAGTGGGAACGTCCTTGGAGAACCGCGTGTTTGAAACGTAAGCTTCTTCCAACGCCACTTCTTCAACACAGACTCGCCCAGGCCGTGGTAAGTTTGTGGAAGAGCCACACGCAAGGGGCCCGAGAGCCGCAGTTTGCCGCCCGCGGGGCTGGGAGCATGCCGCTGCCCCCGCTGCCCCGCCGGCCCCCCACCTCCGCCCTCCGGACAGGCCCCGGGGGCCGGGCCGCCCGCCCGTAGCGCTGGTTACCCAAGAAGCTGTGGGCCGGCTTGTCCTCCACCACGCGGATCCGGCGAGCGCCCGCGGGGATGACGGCCGCTTCGATGTAGCCTGCGGGGACGGGATCACACGGGTGAGCCGCCTCGCCCACCTCCCTCCAGAGTCCCCTCCCCGTCCCCCCCACAAGGATCCTCTGTCTTCCCTGATGTTTCTCTCTCCCCACCCCTCCCCTCTCCTTTCCGCTCTCTGAAATCAATAAAAACATATTTTGGGCCGAAACCAGTTTGGCTCAGTGGATAGAGCGTCGGCTTGGGGACTGAGAGGTCCCGGGTTCGATTCCGGTCAAGGGCATGTACCTTGGTTGCGGGCACATCCCCAGGTGGGGGTGTGCAAGAGGCAGCTGGTCGATGACTCTCTCTCGTCGACGTTTCTAGCTCTCTATCTCTCTCCCTTTCTCTCTGTAAATAACCAATAAAATATATTAAAAAAATTTTTTTTTTTAAAAAAACAACATATTTTTGGGGAAAAATAAATGGAAAAAATGAACAACAAAAACCTTTGAAGCGGCTCGGTGGCCAGTGGCTGGCTATGAGACTAGACGGAGCCGCCCGGCCCCCCTCCATCCCTCTCAGGGGCCGGGGGGCAGGCGCGGATTCTCCCACAAGCCCCCGGGCTCACCGGTGCCCCGCGCGTGGCTGAAGTCGCCCTTGACCACGCGGCAGGTCTTGCCGTCGCCGCTGCACACACCGCACCGGTCCTCCTTGGCCGCCGAGCCGATGATGCCGTCGCAGCCGATTTTCTGGGGGCGGGGAGGGGTGCAGAGAGCGGCGTGAGCCGGGGCCCCCCGCCTCAGGAAGGCCGGGCACCGGGGCGACACCCCCGTGAGGCCCGGCAGACGGGGCAGGGGGGGGCGGGGCGGAGGCGGGGGCCCGGTTACTCCCGGAGGCCCCAGCAGACGGCTGACGTCGGAAGAGCAGAGCGTGAATGGGATCCCGCTTGCGTGAGGCTCGGCCTTGCACCGACCTCGTGGCTGCATATGCGTCCTTTAGTGTTTGCCGGGGAGAAAGGGGGCCCAGGAAGGCAGCGGCGCCCCAGCCTGGCCGGTGTGGCTCAGTGGGTTGTGTTTCTGGCTGGGAAAGGCGAGCACGCGGCTTTCTGTGACTTAACAGCCATCTTGCAATGGCAGCTCTCTCTCTCTCTCTCTCTCTCTCTCTCTCTCTCTCCCCCCCCCCCATGGGAGGGAATGCCACCGACTCCTTATTCCATTGGGAATGGGCTTCCAGGCCAGTGACACCAACCCTCCACTGGGCTCCTGGTTAGCTCTACCAATTCGCAGCCCTCGCCTATTTTTTTTTTATTTTTATAATGTATATTTTTACTGATGTCAGAGAGGAAGGGAGAGGGAGAGGAAGAGGAACATTGATGATGAGAGAGAATCACGGATCGGCTGCCTCCTGCACTCCCCGTCCTGGGGACGGAGCACCCGAAACCCGGGCCTGTGCCCTGACCGGGATTCGAACCGGGACCTCCTGGTTCCTGAGTGGATGCTCGACCACGGAGCCGCGCCGGCCGGCCTGCCGGCCCGGGCTGGCCTCCCCCTTCTCGGCTCTGCCCTTGTTTGGTGAGAGGGCGGCCATTTCCGAGCGCGGCGCCTGCCTGGAAGAGAACATGGCCGCGGCCTCGCCTATCTCGCTCTGTTTTGCTCCCATGCGTGGTTGCTGACTTGGCAGCCGGATCCTAGACATTCGGCCGGAGTCTATAATTATCTCCGCGGCTCCTGCCAGGGTGCGTTCTCCCGTGTGTTTTTCTTGGTCTTTCTGGGGCCGGCGGCTGCTTTCCTTCAAACGGCAGGTCATCGCCGGGTGACGGCTGCCGTGTGAGCAGGGGGCACACGGGAAGACCAGCCCTGGGGGGGCTAGGCTTGAGGGTGGGGGTGTCGCACGCGCAGGGTGGGGAGGGGGGGTTCCACGTGGGTGGGTTTGGGGACTATGTCCCAGGGGGTGGGGGCAGGTTCCCGGAAGCCAGGCGTCTGTGCCCCTTGGGGTGCCACTGGCAAAGGCATCTGATTTGTCTGTATCGTTTGTCCAAAAACATACGTTCACCCGCACCTCCCTCCCCCCAGGCTCGCCTTGGTGGTTGAGCAGTGGTCCACCCGTGAACCAGGAGGTCACAGGTTCGATTCCCGGTCAGGGCACAGACCCGGGTTGTGGGCTTCATTCCCAGTGTGGTGCGTGCAGGAGGCAGCAGCCGATCCATCAATCGATGTTTCTCTCTCATTGATGTCCCCCCCCCCTCTCTAAAATAAATTTAAAATGTATATATTTTTTAATCCTCACCAAAGGATATTTTCTTATTGATTTTAGAGAGACACAGAGAGAAATATCCATGGGTGAGAGAGAAACACACCAATTGTTTGCCTCCTGCAGGCACCCCGACCAGGGCCTGGGCTGGGAATGAACCTGCAACCGACGTACGTGCCCTTGACCGGAATCGAACCCGGGACCCTGCGGTCCGCTGGCCGACGCTCCGTCCACTGAGCCACACCGGCCAGGGCAATACAAAAAAAAAAAAAAAAAAAATATATATATATATATATATATATATATATTTTTTTTTTTTAATGAAAACCCACTCCCCCGGGGCTCCCCGGCCCCCGCCCCTGCCGAGCCCCCGAGGAGAGGGGGCCGCCTCCTGGCAGCCCCGCCGGGGACGGACGGACGGACGGACGGAGCGCACACGTCACCTGGCACCTGCCGTGCACGCAGAGGTCCGTCTCGTAGGGCCCGCAGGGCGTGCCGTCCAGGACCCTGTCGGCCACCAGCAGCGGGGACTCCTTCCCCAGGGGCGAGCAGTACAGCTCACACGGCTTGTCTGGGGAGGGAAAGGGGTGAACAGCGGCGTGAGGAGGGCCATGCCGGGCGCGGTGACGGCCCACGAGGCCTGTGTGCGCGCTCCGTGTCTCCCTAGGGGTCCTCGGGGGCAGGTGGGGGTTAGGAAGCCGGGGAGGGGGGTGGGTGGGGGGGTGGAAAGCCCCGTGGGGCCTGCAGGGCCTCAGAGGACTGGACACGGAGCTGGAGGACTCCTGCCTAGGGGATCCGCTCTCCCCCAGCGCCCGGGCCTGCCACGGGAGGGCCACGGGCTCGCTGCTCTCCGTGGCTGGGGTCCCGTGGCACCCTGAGCCACGCCGTCGGTGGGAAGGCGTGCCTTCGAAGGCTAGAGGGCAGTGTCCTAAGCTTATAAGGAAGCGCCCCCTGGCTAAAGCAGTTTCAAAACTGAATTTAAAAAAAAAAATTTTTTTTTTTCCTCCCTGATTTTTACTGATTTCAGAGCGGAAGGGAGAGGGAGAGAGAGAGAGAGAGAAACATCCATGAAGGGAGAGACTCATGGACTGGCTGCCTCCTGCAAGGCCCACACTGGGGATCGAGCCTGCAACTCGGGCCTGTGCCCTTGACCGGGAATCGAACCGGGACCTCCTGGTGGACGCTCAGCTGCTGCGCCATCCCAGCCGGGCAGGCACCTCCGCTCTGTTTTGTTAAGCGGCTCCAGCTGGCCTAACTGAGCCCTCACCCCCACACCCGCCGGGTCGCGGGGGGCTCCGGCCTGGAGGGGTTCGGCTGTGCCGGGAGAGGGCTGGAATGTGCCTCCCGGCCTCTGCCAAGCCCTCCGACGCGTGGGCGGGCGGACGGCCTGCTGGCCCGGCCGCCGGGGAGGCCTGGGCACGTCAGGGTCCTGGCCCCAAGGAGGCTCCACGGGGAAGGCGGGAGCGGGTGGGCTGGCCCCGGGCCACGGCCACGGGGTCCTGTCGGAGGCCTTTCCACGGGGTAGTCACTCTAAGGAGCATCTCTGTGGCCTGTGGGAGGCGGCCGGGGTCTGCGGTCCCGAGTCCTGCCTTGGAAAATCTACCTCGGCAAGAATTTCCTTGTTTTCTTTCTTTCTTTTTCCCCCCCAGCCCCCTTCCTTCTTTGGAGAAGAGAAAATAGGAAAAAATACAGCGTCTCCCTCCCCGGCCAAAGCATTCCGCAGCGAGAGCAGGAATAGGGCAGTCGCTGTGACTCCCCGAGAGCCGCCGGCCGCGGGGTCCTGCCTGCTTGCTGAAAGGCCCCCTCCTCCCTGCTCTGGGCCAGCCACTGAGGGTTTGGGCTTCCTCCTCTGCCACGCTCCTCCACAAAAGGCTGGCCTGCTTCTGCTTGAGAGGGAGATGAGACCAAATCGGCGAGAAGGCCAGAGAGCGCACCCCAGGGGGGAGGCGGCCCCTGCCGAGCCCTGAGTTCCAGTCTCCCCGTCAAAGGCGGAATGCTGACTGTACCCCGACTTCCTTATCCCAGACCGTGCGTGGCCTTCTCAGCGCCCGGCCGCTGGCGTGGCTCCGTGGTGCAGCATCGACCTGGGAACCAGGAGCTCACGGTTCCATTCCGGGTCGGGGCACAGGCCTGGGTTGTGGGCTCCATCCCCAGTAAGGGGGCGTGCGGGAGGCAGCCGATCCATGATTCCCTCTCCTCATGGATGCTTCTCTCTCACTCTCCCTCTCCTTCCCTTTCTGAAATCAATAAAAGTAAAATAAAATAAAAAAATAATAAAAACATTTACAAAAAGAGTAAAAACCAACCCAAAATGATTTTGGAAATTGCAAGGGAGCACCCACACTGGACAGGGAGGCAGCAAGCAGACGCCCTTGTCCCGGCCCTGCACGGCCTCCTGCCCCACACAGTTGGCCCCGGGACCCCAGAAACAGATAGCAGACTGCCGGAACCCCCCTCCTGTCTTCCCCCATCTCCCACCCCCCCCCCCCACTGCTGCAAACGGGGGTGCGGGAGGCATCTGGGCTGCAGCCTGCCTTGCGGGTGCTCTTGGGAAATGGCACAGGCCTCTGAGGCCAACGCCAGGCTCTGCCCGGGGGTCCCTCCGAGGCTAACAGGGCGGGGGGACTGCGGTGGGAATGCCCCCCCCCGGGTCCTCCCAGGAGGTGCCAGGCTCCCCCCCCCCCCGGGGAAGGATCGGAGGGAGAGGACACGCCCCGCTCCTTACCGTCCACCACCACAGCGGCCAGCAGCCCCTTTTTCTTGCTGCTCAGCTGGTCGTGCGTCTGGCACTGCTGGTCCCGGAAGCTGGGCAGCCCCTTGGGGCAGGGCGGGCCCTCGCACGCGGCATGCTCCACGCTGGCGCCCTGGCAGTGCGCGCCTCCTGGCCCGGGGCTGCGGGGGGGGGAGAGAGAGCGGCCGCCTGGGTCAGCCAGCCCAGGCAAGGTCTCCAGAGCGCCCCCCTCTGCTCCCTGCCCTCCCGCCTCGGTGTCAGGGAGCCCCCAGGGGAGGGCAGCCGAGGCCGTCCGCCAGGGTCACCTGGACGCAATGTGGCGAGTACGGGTGAGCGAGATCCACCCACCGTGTCTCTCATCCCAACGTAAAGCGTAGCCATCGGGCCCGGCCGGCGTGGCTCAGGGGGTGAGCACTGACCTATGAACCAGGAGGTCAGGGTTCGATTCCCGGGCAGGGCACATGCCCGGATTGTGGGCTTGATCCCGGAGGCAGGCAATGGATGATGCTCTCATCATGGATGTTTCTCTCTCCCTCCCTCTCCCTTCCTCTCCCTTCTGCTCTGAAATCAATAAAATCAATATATTTTATTGATTTTTTTTTTTTTTTTTTTTTTTTTTTTTTTTTTTTTTTTTTTTTTTTTTTTTTTACAGAGAGGAAGGGAGAGAGATAGAAAGCTAGAAACATCAATGAGAGAGAAACATCCATCAGCTGCCTCCTGCACACCCCACATGGGGGATGTGCCCGCAACCAAGGTCCATGCCCTTGACGGGAATCGAACCCAGGACCTTTTGGTCCGCAGGCCGACGCTCTATCCGCTGAGCCACGCCGGTTTCGGCAATAAAGATATATTTTAAAAAATAAAAACGAAAAACCATCCACGTGGACAGCAGGTCGCTGGCGAGGGGCAAGGAAGGGCACATACAGGGTTTCCTGTGGGAGCAGAAGCCGGGGCAGGGGCCTCGGCCGGCCTGCAGGCGGCTTCCTTTCCAGATGCTTCTGGGACCCGCCGCCGCCTTCCTGGGTCCTCCCGCTCCCACGCCCCTCCGCCTCGGGCTCCCCAGCTGGCTCTCCCCCAAACAGCGATGCCCTCCGGTGCCCGGGGCGCCGGCCTCCGGATTGCGGGCGGCCTTTCCGCCCTGCAGCCTCCTGGCGGACACCCGCACCGGGAGGGACATGGCTTGGGGCCGGGAGACACGTGCCGAGGAGGCTGGGCCCAGGACACGGATGACCCCAGGCCCCGATGTCGGCTGGCAGGAGGCGCGCGTTCCAATGGCCGGGATGACCGAGGCGGAGAGAAAAGGCGGACTCTCTGGCCGGTGTGCTTGGGAGCCGGGAGAGGGGCCAGGCCTGCAGGGAAGGGGGACTGGCGGGGGCGGGGGCGGAGGCTCGCGCACGTCCTGGGAACCATCCTGGGAACCGGGCGGGGCGGCCAGCCTGGTGAGCGGGGCCGGAGCCAGAGCGGAGGGGGTGCTGTTGGGTCAGTTTGGCTCGGGCCGCCATCAGCTGTGTCCTGTAACCGGCACCACGTCAGGGCCTCCTGCTGAGACAGCTGAGCGGCCTGGCCCTCTCACAGCTCCCCGGAGGCGCCCCTGCGGCCGGAACAGCCCCCCCAACCGGCCCCTTCGCTCCCCCTTCACCTGGGGACGGTCCCTGAGGGCGAGGAGAAGACAGCCATTGCCCGTTAGAAAAGAAAGTCTGCTGTTTTTAAATATATAGATTTGTATTCAATCAGAGAGGAAGGGAGAGGGAGAGAGAGAAACAGCCATGAGGAGAGAGAATCATGGGTCAGCTGCCTCCTGCACACCCCACACTGGGGATGGAGCCCACAACCCGGGCCTGTGCCCTGACCGGGAATCGAACTGTGGCCTCCTGGCTCCTAGGTCAACGCTCAACCACGGAGCCACCCGGGCCCGGCAGGAAGCTCAGACAGAGCACCGCGGTGTCACTAGTACCAGATTGCTGGGCTCCCTCGGGGTAAACCCGACTGGGGCAGGGCTTAGAGCTGGTCCTGAGAGGCCACGGAGCACCCTGTACGTGGGCGGCAAGTCTCACGGCGGGGGGTGGGGAGGGGGAGGGGGCACCGGTGAAGACGCCCTGGTGTGCGGGGCCTGGCCGCTCCCTGGCTGTCCGTGGCGTTCGGGTGGCCTGGGGGAAGCAGCGTCCCAGGCCGCCTGACACACACACACACACACACACACACCCCCCGCACGGCCTGTGCAGTGACCTCCGCGCGTCAGGGAACCCCGGGGGGGAGTGTCCGGAGGGCGCCGGAAGCACAGAGGGTCCCTGCCTCTCGGTGAGCGGGCGCCCAGGTGGGCGAGGGGCACAGATGTTGCAGGGCTGCGCTGAGTGGTGCCCAGCAGGGGCGGGTCTGTCATCTCTCCATCATCCACCATCTATCCATCTGCCTACGACGGTAGTATCTACGTCCTATCACCTATCTGCTATCCATCTATCTATAATCTATCATCTGTACTCTATCATCTTCTTCTATTTATCTAGCTATCCATCTATCATATATCTATTATGTAACGCTTACCTATCTGTCTACCTATATTCTATCACCTGTTATCTACCTATCACCTATCTATTATCTATCATCTATTCATTATCATCTATCTTCTATTTATCTATCAAACTACCCATCTATCATATACCTGTCATGTATCTATCTTTTATCTATCGTCTACCTATATAGCTATATTCTATCGTCCTCCTAATTATCATCTATTTTATCCATCTATCTTCTATCATCCATCTGTTATCTATCCATCTATCATATATCTACCTACCATCTATCATCTATCTATCTACCAATCATCTATCTATCTATCTATCATCTAGCTATTATCTATCACCTATCTACCTATCATCTATCTATCTATCTACCTATCATCTATCTATCTATCATCTAGCTATTATCTATCACCTATCTACCTATCATCTATCTATCTATCTATCATCTATCTATCTATCTATCATCTATCATCTAGCTATTATCTATCACCTATCTACCTATCATCCATCTATCTATCTATCTATCTATCTATCATCTAGCTATTATCTATCACCTATCTACCTATCATCTATCTATCTATCAATCATCTATCATCTAGCTATTATCTATCACCTATCTACCTATCATCCATCTATCTATCTATCATCTAGCTATTATCTATCACCTATCTACCTATCATCCATCTATCTATCTATCTATCTATCTATCTATCTATCTATCTATCTATCCTTCTATCTATCTATCTCCTATTGGTTCTCTTTCTCTGGGGAACCTCAGTGCACCATCAGCGCTCTTAACGGAACTGTCATTCCTGAAGCGCTGAGCGCCCGCTGGGAGCCGGGCTCTGCTGGGGGCCGGAGGAGCGGTTTAACGGGACCAACTGTGCAGCACCGATCCCCTGAGCGCCCCCGGGAGGGAGCGGTGCTCCTGGCACAGCCTCCCTGTGAGCCGAAGGTCCTGCCCCCGCCCCGGAGCGTGGGAGGTATGGCTGGGCTCCCGCCAGGGCGGCAGGGCTTGCCCAGGGGGCTGCTAATTATTCACCAACATGACTTAATTGTGGATGGAGAGCCTGTCGGGTGAGTCATCCTTTATAGGGCGCTCCTTACGGCGCTAATGGGATGCAGCTGAGGGCCCAGGGGATGGAGAGCGGAGAGCCGGCCGTTCTGAGAAAGAGTGAAGGGGGGGGCGGTGAGGGAAGAGCAAGACCCACGTGGGAGGGGAGCGTGACCGGGCGCACAACTCACCCCACGTATTCCGAACTGACCGGCAAAGACCCCCCCACCCCCCATCAAAGACAGACAGACAGTCACAGTTGCAGGAGGACGGCTTCAGATAGCCCAGTGGTCAGCAAACCCATGAGTCCACGGAGCCAAATACCAACAGGACAACCACCGAAATTGCTTTGGAGAGCCACATTTTTTAGACGTAAACTCCTTCGAACGCCCCTTCTTCCACACGGACTCGCCCAGGCCGTGGTATTCTGCGGAAGAGCCACACGCAAGGGGCCCGAGAGCCGCCTGTGGCTCGCGAGCCGCAGTTTGCCCAGCACTGAGGTGGCAGGTGAGCTCCTCAGCTGCCCGGACGCCCCCCTGACGCCGTGGCCGGCAGCTCCCATGGCAGCCAGCAGCCCGGGCCGGGCCCCCCCAGCCCGGCCTCCCCCGGAATGACCTCCGCGGAGGAGCCAGACGCCCGCCCGGGGCGTCTGTCCCCCATCTGTCCCTGGGAGCCTTTTTAAAAATCTTTCCTGCCTATTGGTTTTGTGGTTGATGCTGCTCAGCCTCCCCCCGGGATATTTCCTGGACTGATTTTGAGAGAGTGTGGAAGGGAGAGGGAGAGACAGAGAGAAACACCGATTGGAGAGACAGACGCATGGATGGGCTGCCTCCCGCACGCACAAGACTGGGGCAGAGGGTGGAGCCTGAAATCGAGGTGCGTGCCCTTGACCGGAGTCCAACCTGCGACCTTTGGGTCTGCAGGCCAACACTTTATCCACTGAGCCACACCAGCCAGAGATGATTGATGAGAGAGAGAGAGAGAGAGAGAGAGAGAGAGAGAGAGGAAAGGGAGAGGGAGAGAGGGAAACATCAGTGATGAGAGAAAATCATGGATCCGCTGCCTCCTACTGGGATGGAAGCCCACAACCCCAGCGTGTGCCCTGACCGGGAATGGAACCGAGACTGGGAATGGCTCCTCGGTGGACGCTAACCACTGGACAACACTGGCTCTGGTGTAGCTCCTGGTCGTAGTTCCGCTTCCTTGCGCCCCCCTCCTTGTGAGACAAACCCTGTCAGGGGCAGGGAGACCCTGTGAGGGGCAGGCCGGGCGGGGCGGGGCGGGGGGCACTCACGGGGGGTTGTCGCACTTCCGCTGCCGGAAGCGGGCTCCGGTCCCGCACGTGCGGCTGCACATGCTCCAGGCGCCCCAGGGGCTCCAGTCGCCGTCCACGTGCTCGGGGATGGGCGTCTTGCTCACGCACTCGCCCGCGCGGCACCACTGCAACACAGCGGCCTCCGCGTGACCTGGGAGCCTCCCCCGTCCCATCCGCTGCCTCCCGGCCTCCCATCCGCTGCCTCCCCGAGGTCCCGGCCGTCTGGGCCCGGGGACTGACTCCCCAGGGGGCAGTGCACACGGCCTCCGGGGAGACGCGCCCCACGCCCCGGGGGCAGGCAGGAGGGAGGCGGTTACCTTGTCCGCCCCGCACTCGGTGCCGTCCAGGGGCGGGTCCAGCTTGGTCTTGCAGGACGCGTCTCCTTCCACCAGGCACCACAGCCCCGCGCACATCAGATGCTGCGGACAGAGAGGAGACACGAGACTGCTGGGAACCCCAATGGGTCGCCAGGGGTGAGCCCAGAGGTGGGTTTGGACTTGGGATTCGAAACGGGAGGGGAGGAGGTGCCCGGTCGGTGCGGTTCAGAGGGTGAGCATCTATCTCTCCTCCTCCCTTCCACTCTCTCTAAGAATCAATGGGAAAATGCCCGGCGGGCGTGGCTCAGGGGTTGAGCATCGACCTAGGAGCCAGGAGGTCATGGTTTGATTCCCCGTCAGGGCACAGGCCCGGGGTGCAGGCTCCATCCCCAGTGTGGGGGGAGTGCAGGAGGCAGCCGATCCATGACTCTCTCTCACCATGGATGTTTCTATTTCTCTCTCCCTCTCCCTTCCTCTCTGACATCAATAAAAATATATATATTTTTTAAAAATAAATAAAGCCCTAACCAGTGTGGCTCAGTGGATAGAGCGTCGGCTTGGGGACTGAAGGGTCCCAGGTTCGATTCCGGTCAAGGGCATGGACCTTGGTTGCGGGCACATCCCCAGTGGGGGATGTGCCGGAGGCAGCCGACCCATGTTTCTCTCCCATCGATGTTTCTATCTCTCTCCTTCTCCCTTCCTCTCTGTGTAAAAAAAAAATCAATTAAATATATTGTTAAAGAAACCTAACAAATAAAACAAAAAAGAACCAACGGCGAGGAGCAACGACAAGAAGGGGATGTGGAGGGACAGAGGCGGAAGGGAAAAGGCAGGAAAGCAGACCCCAAGGGGGGTGGACCTGGACCGAGAGCCAAGAACAGCCCCAGGGCCTCTTAGCTCCCGAGGACACGGGAGCTGCCCGGGGCCCGGAGGAGATGATGACGCAGGCGCAATACTGCGGCCTGGGGTTCAGGAAAGCCCCCGCGCCCCCCGTGAGCGGGACAGAGTGAGAGCCCGGAGCTCGGCACCAGCTGGTCCCGGAGAGAGCCACCGACCGCCGGCGGCACCTCGTTAACCGGCTGCTTCCATGCCCTCCGACCCCGGAGCTCTGGGGACGCGGCGGAGGCCCGAGGAATGTGTGGGGCGGGGGCTGGGGGCCCCGCAGGAGGGGGAGGAACTGTTTATAGACAGCGCTTTCCCGTAAAACTTCCCTAGTCGTCAAAAAATAAAAAATAAAATAAAAGGAGGGGGTGTGGGGGCGGGGGGGGAGAATGAGGTCAGGCAAAGATGTCTTCAGTGGAACACAACACCACGTCTGAACTGTAAAGAGAAACGCGAACGAGTTATGTTATATTCAAACGAGGAACTTCTGCCCGGCCGGCGTGGCTCGGTGGTTGAGCCTCCACCTAGGAACCAGGAGGTCAGGGTTCGATTCCCGGTCAGGGCACAGGTCCGGGTTGCAGGCTTGATCCCCAGTAGCGGGGCGTGCAAGAGGCAGCCGGTCCATGGTTCTCTCTCCTCATGGATGTTTCTCTCTCTGTCTCCCTCTCTCCCTTCCTCTCTGAAATCAATACAAATATATTTATATATTTATTATTATTTTTTTAAATCACTTAAAAACAATGGGGGCCGGGAGAGGGCAATGCCAGGCTGTTCCTTCTGGCTGTCACCACCCGCCCGCAGCCTCCCCCTGAAGGAGCCACTGCCCTGCGGGGGCTGCTGACGAGCACAGGAGTGACTGGTCAGTGTAAAAAATAAATAAATAAACGAATAAATCAATAAATAAAGCCCTGAGTGGGCTCGCCGGTCAAGTTCGTCTCCTCTTTCTAATAAATATTTACCACCCGCTGTTTGTAACGTGCAGGGTTGGACTGTCTTGAAACGCTTTCCTGAATTAAAAACATCACATCGCCATTGGCTAAGAGAGGAGACGGCTCTGTTTGCCAAGGACTTGGAACAAGTGCCAGTTCGGCGATGCCAATGTGGTGGTGTTTTTTTTGGTTTTTTTTTCACTTCTTATTTCCATGGGCAGCTCGGAGCCACAGCGCCAGCCCCTGCACACAAGGGAGACGCGATGCTGCTGCTGGTGATGGTGGTGGTGGGGGGTGTCTCCAGGGCCCTAGGAGGGAGGACGGGGGGACCCTAGCTTTCCTTGGTCCTCTGCCAGGCAGGTGTTTCCGGAAGCAGGGGCCCGGCGCACGCAGGAAGCCAGGCTGCCCCCACGCCACCCGAGGCAGTGTTTTCCCAGAGTTCTAAGCGAGGAAACGGCTCCTTTAGGCTCCACATGGTGAATGCCCAAAGAGGAAGGCACGTGGAGTCCAGCGGAAGGAGGTTCTAGATTCAAATCTCACCCAAAGGATAGCCCGGCTGGCATGGCTCAGGGGGCTGAGCGTCGGCCTACGAACCAGGAGGTCAAGGCCGATTCCCGGTCAGGGCACAGGCCCGGGTTGTGAGTTCGATCCCCAGTGTGGGGCGTGCAGGAGGCAGCCAATCCATGATTCTCTCTCATCGTTGCTGTTTCTACCTCCCTCTCCCTCTCCCTCCCTCTCTGAAGAGTAATAACTCACGCAGGCCGGCTCATGCCGTGGGGGACAGATGCACTGGGCGGGGACTCTGCACCCCTCAGGGTACTGTCTGTCCATGCACAGTGATGAAGGACAGAAGGTTACCAAGGAAACAATTCAATGCAAATATAATTCCAAACACAAACTAACTACAAATGCATACAACAGCAATATGGGTTTCCTAGTGAGCACGTGACATAACAAAACCTGACTCTGAGTGTCCACTCACCTCCATGTTCCTGCAGAAGGTGGCGTTGGTGCCGAACAGGATCTGGCACTGCTCGTTGGCGCTGTAGTGCATGCCAGGCAGCTTGTGGGGCAGCCGCACGGCGTGCTGGCTCCGCGGGTCCGTGAACAGCAGGCAGGAGCTCACTTTCGACCTGAAACGGACAAGAGCTGAGCCCGCACGCAAATGCCAGGGTCTTTGTTTTGATTTTGAGTCGTGGAGAAAGCTGCGCCTCCACATTCCCTGTGGGACGCCCGGCTGGGGTGGCTGTGGTTGATGGTCGACCCAGGAACCAGAAGGTTTCTGTTCGATTCCCGGTCAGGGCACAGGACGGGGCGTGCAGGAGGCAGCCGGCCCATGGTTCTCTCTCATCACGGATGTCTCTCTCTCCCTCTCCCTTCCTCTCGCCAATCAGTAATAAATACTGAGGGAGCCCTGTCCCTGGGGAAGGCGCGCCCCTGTCACAGGAGGCTGAGTGTGCAGCATCTGTTCTGCTCCAGCCCCGGGCACGGCCACAGCGGTGTCTGCCCCGGTCACACAGCAGAGGAAGGAAGCAGCTCCAGGGTACGGTCACGGTGCTGGTATTTCCACCAGCCAACAAGCATCTTTTAATAGGAGCCCACCACCACAGCAGACGCCTGAGCCTCGCAGGGGGCACACACCACACAGGTGCACAGTCCACACCCGGTGCACACGTCACACCCGGGGCACACGCCACACACGATGCACACGTCACACCCCATGCACACACCACACTCCATGCCACACCACACCGGTGCACACACCACACAGGTGCACACGTCACAGCCGGGGCACACGCCACACACGGTGCACACATCACAGCCGGGGCACACGCCACACACGGTGCACACGTCACACCCGGTGTACACATCACACTCCATGCCACACCACACTGGTGCACACACCACACCCAGTGCACACGCCATACCCCGTGCACACGCCACACCCGGTGCACACAC